AACTCCCTGATGAAATCAATTAAGATTGATAACTTCAACACAACGATTTCGATTTAAGAAACCCAATCAGAGTCCCGCGATCGGATATCTCTGAAAGAATTAAACACTATATGTGACACCGCACCCGAACGTCCTTGAAAATTCAATTTAAACATTCAAAGTTTATGTATTGAATTTCTGATTCCCAAACAATTGTAAATGATTGATGTTTTACGTAATTAATGATCGATTATTATACCGTTCGAACTCGTATATTAGTGTCGGGCTTGCGAATACTAGTTTGGGCCTTATTAATAAATAAAAGAGCCTAACATTATCTAAATAGTGATACATAACGTTTCAAGACAAGTTGAGGAAGGGCGGGTGGCCCAGACATTATTTTGGGCTCAACCCGCTAAAATAGCAAGTATTCGAGAATGGCGTCGTAGGCCCACTCGGGGGTGACCCACACGTCTGGTAGTCCAATAATATGGATGAAAAATGTCGAAATAAGTGATAGGATGATTTGAGGTGAATACAAATGCCTATGATCCTATCTTTGACATTATTGAGCTAAATAATGGGAGTAGGATTTTTCCTTCTATAATATCCATCAAGTAAATTATTGAGATGAGCCTACACATATTGGAGATCAATAATGTGATGTAAGAAGTTGACTTGTTCTAAATAAGTTAGGATGAGTACAAAAAGACATCTTTGACAAAAGATAAAACAATAGAACCCATCTTCCCATTTTTAGAAGTATTGATAGATATTTTGGACCCCAAAATAATTGGGATCAATGGGGAACCACTCAACATGATATTAGTACCTGCAAGACAAATAAAAATGGGTGAGAAGACTTACCTTGGCCGACCACCATGGAGAGGAGCTGCACAAGACTTGATAGGAATCAATTGTTGGGCCACCATCTCCATTTTTCGCACAAAATGGTGTGCTGTTTGTCTCCACTCATTATGGGAGTTATACTCGACCAAACAATGTGTATAAGGTGTCCTTGGATAGCCTTTGAAGTCTATTTTCATATTTGAGTGGTCTCTGTTCGAGAGGAGAGAGTTATCATACAAACAATCGAGATGGAGTGAGCTGTTGTCTGTAAACTCGAGCAGTGAGAGTGCTGAAGCTGTTTGGTTGATATCTCGAGTTATACCAATCCAATTAAGGCGTGTAAGATACAAAAACAAATCTCTCAAGACGAGGAATCCGTGAAAGTCTGGTTTGCATAAATCGGAGTAGTGGAAGGCTTCCAAATCGTCCGAGCAAAACGCAACCTCGCAGAAACGGATCTACTCTTCTAAAGTGAGTTGTTAACCCCAAAAACCTTTCCAACTATGTTTTCAAACTATGTTTTCCGCTACGTATTCGATTGCTTGTTATGTTGTTTATGGATGGCTTACGTGTGAATGATATTCGAGACGCCTTGTATAATATGAATGTGTTGGACTGCGGTTGACTATTCGTATTGTACGGCGGGTTGTTGACGTGTCTGGGGGGGTCCGGGGCGTGACACTATATTTTCCCTCCTCACGACCAAACACTTCGTTTGGATCGTGTCGTCTTTCATTTTTTCATTGATTCGTCATTGTCATTTTTTTGTAATTGTGTCATCATTTATCATAAGAGGGCCCACACCATAGATGAATCTGGTTCGGATACCATATGTCCATATATGTTAAGACTCGGAGTTCCATCCTAAAAAGTCAATCTTAATATAACGCTTTGTTGATTCAGACTTTTTCGGTGCGGGACTTTAATACCTCCTTCTCATGACCAGACACTTCGTATGGATCGTGTCGTAATTCATTTTTCATTGATTCGTCATTGTCATTTTTTTAATCATTTTTCATAGGGGCTCACACCATGAATCGATTTGACTTCGATACCATGTTAAGACCCGGAATTCCATCCTAAAAATCAACAACAATAGCTAGCCTGGATTTTAATATAGCACTTTATCCCTTCATCTGTATGAGAATTCAACCGAATCGAGTGCGCACAAAGAATGAAAGAAACCCATATTCAATGAAACTCCGATAGCCAATTGCTCAGCCACCATTGAACTCTAGTACGTACCATTGAACTATAGCATGTAACTACGGAGTATGTAACACTACTGGAAGAACTTATCTGTTTGAATTTATTCTGCTCGGGCAGCAATGGTGGGGCGTGTCTGACAGTTACAAACTCGGCCACAAACATATTTGGAGTAAAGGCCAAAAGTGAGAGCACACTCTTGTTGACCGGGTCAACACCTCCAGCCTTAAACACTAATCTGGTACGTGACATGACCATTCATACAGAGTACGTAGTAAATTGTAAATTCTGAATGAAGGTTGGGAATTTTGGTTAGAAATTTGAATAGTGATTATCATCCATTAATGGAAGCTGGGAGCTCTAATAGGCCGGGCTTAATAATGGCTTATCGATCATCGCTATTGCAGCTTGTATGGAGGGTAATTGGGTAAAATGCCAAAAACTATTTTAATTATTGATTTCTTTTGCATATCACTACTAGGCATGTAAAAAAAACCCGATTCACAATGACACGCCCTGATTCGAGACATTTGGGGCGGGTTCGATTCGCCCCGTCTTGCAAATGGGGTGGGTCCGCCCCGCTCATATAATGGGACGGGTCTAGGTCTAAAAAATTAATTATGTTGGGTGTATTTCGGAAAATAAAGAAAAAATTAATTAATTAAAATTAATTTAAAATGACAAAGAAAAACATAAAATAGATGAATCAGAATTTAGCCAAAGCTCGTGCTACGCACGATATCCTTAAAATGTATTCGTTGCCTCCCGGGGTACTAGAAGCGTTAAAACGATCGTTTCTCAGGATACGATGACTAACGAGCAATCGTTTGAGCACTCAAACGGCTATTCCGGCGAACGAGAACAAGTATGAACACGAATGAATTTTTCAGAGAGACTGGAGGTGTATTTGAGTTGAAAAACACGTGAAGAATGTATTGTACGTTGTGCTTGTTGCAAACCACTTGCAGCCATTTATAGGGAAGATTTGTTGTTTTTGTGTTAATGATCCGAACGTTGGACATCAATGGTCCGAACGTTGGACATTGATTCGACCAAAAAAACCCGTTCATTATATTGCTGCATTAAGGCAATTAATTGTTGTAACGTCTAGCAGCTGGCTGCTGCGGACGTTCAAAATGGAGCAACAGCCTCCTCCCAACGGGGCTGCACCTGGAGCAAAAAATTGGAACGTAACAGAAGAACAAAAATTAACGTTATCTTTACAAAAAAATTGCAAGTCGCGCTTTTTGTTCTCTGGTTTCGGGATTTGATTCGCACCCCCCGCACGCAAAGAGAGTTTTTCCACCTAAAAATCTTAACTCCTTAGAATAGGCTTCTCTTTATAAGGGGTTCAAAGTCCTTGAGTTTTCCAGTGTGGGAAAAAACAACACTAGAAACCCATCTTTCCCATTTTTCTCCATTTCAACGAGTGAACTTCGAGAATCAATTCCTCATTCACCTGTTATCTGTTTTGAGTGTACCACATATCGAATTGTAACCCTTAGCAAGGACAATCAAAAACCACTTTGACCCGACCCAAATTGGAAGTGGACCCCACTCAAACAAACTCCCCAAAATGACCATTTAATGCAATTTATTAACACATTTTCCAACACTTCACACGCGAGTTACATCACCCTACTATTGAAACAAAAAATATTGTTCACATGTGCTTTAACTGTGAAAGTATCATACTCACCATGGGCTACTTCTAGTGGAGGACCTTGGGGGGGGGGGGGGGGTCCTAGTGGGGCAAGTGCCCCCGCTTCCGATCCCAAACTTTAGTTTTAGTACTTAGGAAGTTAGGATAAATATAGTGCCCCACCTATCTAGATAAAATATACTTTGTATTACTATTAAATGAGGTAATCCCTTCAAAGAGTATGGAAATCGTTATAAGACATTTAAACTTTTGATTCATTACGAATCAAAAGTTATGATTCTTGGAAAATTAGGATCATTTAAACTTGAAATTTTCTTATCATATGCTACACATATATCAAAGCAATAACAGTCAAGGTCAAAGTCTAACAGTTTTAGATGATTCATCACTAATCCAACACCGGGGTCCGGGACCTTGACAACCTACCAAAAAGTGCAATTTTATGGACGTTTTCTGAGAGAGTGCAAAACGGAGTTGGCAGGTCCGAATTTAGCTTGTCAGGAAGAAACTCATTTTCGGAGTTACCAAGCTCAAAAATGGACTCCGATAATTATGGTGGGGAGACCATTTTCGGAGTTGGCAGATCCGAAAGTAGGAGTATTTTATTGTTTTGAAGTTTTAGTGTTTTGGTGTTTTCGGAGTTGCAGATTTTTGAACTTTTGAAGTTTTGGTGTTTTATTGTTGCCTTCAATCCGAAAGTAGGAGTATTTTAGTGTTTTGAGGTTTTTTTATGATTGTTGTTATAATTTTTTTTTTTGAAAACTTATAAATCTATATTGTTCAACATAATTAAAAATCATACAATAGTTGTATTTTAAGTTGAATTTGCGTCTGATTCCCGATTTAGATAAAAACATGCGTTTTACAAAAATTTGACCCATTAAAATAAATTAGCACACGTTTTACAAAAGTGACCCATTAAATGTTTTGAGCACAAATAGTAAAAAATTTGTTACATTTACATTAACAAAATAATGTTTTGAACGTAATTCAAATTATAAAACCGTACCCATTAAATAATGTGAACCCGGAAAAGATGATTAAAAGTATCGATATGTTAATATATTTAGAAGAACAAACTACATTGATTAAAAGTATCAATATATTAAATCAATGTGACGATTTTTAAAAATAGTTGACCCATTCGGTGTTATGAACTCCAAAGTAAATACAAATACAGTTTACAATATAACACGTATAATTTATAAGTGACCCATAAAGTCATACGAATTCAAAATTAAACAAAGTTCATTGCACAATAAGTCATATTAAAGGTACATATAAAACATATGGCTAATAAATATTTTAAAACATTAAAACAAAGTACAAAAAAAGATTACATTATAAGAGTACAAATACAAATCAATCATGTTGTCCTCTCCGTCTTGGACGCATATCCATCTCATTTGGAAATCTTGTTTCTTGACGGCGCCCAGCTCGAGAAGTTCTGGAAGAGTACTTAGGCAGTAGAAGAATGAACTCATTTTGTGGCCACTCATTCATATTCGGAAATGGCATGATATCACCGGAATGTGCATTTATGTAAGAACTCAGTTTGTATACCTCAGGAATAAGATAATCAACACGACAATTTAGAAAATGGCACACAGAATGTGGCAGAGCCCAAGACGAGTCATGACTATCATCACTACCATTGGAAGCGCTCTCCTCTTCCATATGAACCATTGAAGGACCTTGATTTAATGTAGATGGCATCGGGTTGCGCCGCCGCCTAGAAGGGCCTTCGTGCAATGGAATAACCACATCCCTATTGGTTGCATCAATGAATACCTCCAAACGATCATATACGTTCGAAGCTATTTGGACAAAATAGATCCACGACGGCTCATCATGTATGGGCCACGGCATAGATGCACACACACCATCTCTAGTATCAAAAGGAAATTTTCCGTGAATGGTTTTAATTTCATTTAAACCATCACGAGAAATCTGAGAAAGTACATTCTCACACAATGTTGAGTAGCTAACATCGGCGTTTAAAAAAAGCACCGCATTCGGAAATGAAGAGTATTTTACTTCGTTGTCAACATTGGTCAATACCCCATTCCAATGAACGAGAACTATTATGTTCTGCTCACTTGACATTTTTATATATGTAGGAAGTGAAAGAAATGAGAGTTATAAGTGCTAGAAATGAGAGATATGAGTGGTAAGAATTAGTGTGTGAAGTGTTGTTTTTATAGTAGGTGTTAGTAGCAGGAGGGTGAAATATCTGCACACATCTGCAATAACGCTGCCTTCTCAGTAATCGTAGGACCAGTGAGTGGTATGCCGTCAACAGGTAACCCCAACAACACTTGTACGTCCTGCAAGGTCAAGCTTACCTCACCAAAGGGAAAATGAAATACATGTACCTCGGGTCTCCACCTCTCCACTAACGCAGTCACAAGAGACCAATCTAACTGCAATTGTCCTATTCTCTCCACACCATGAAACCCCGATACTCTCAGCAGCTGTACCACCCTAGGATTACGCGGACCCTCCTCAACGTAGGCTTCTCTCGAATAGTGCTGGCATTTCAGTTTGACGTCACGAAATGATGATTCATGCCACACACGATCGGCACGATGCTCATCCGGTAGCACAACAACACCGAACGATCCTGAGGCCCTGGGTGTGCAACTCGTTCAGCCATTACATACCTACAATTAACAAGCACACATAAACTATTTTTTTTTCTGATCGGAGACATTATTGGGGTGGTTGGAAATAATGAGGTTAGGTGTGGAGTGGATGAGGGCGTAATCCGAGATATTTTATCTCACCGGGAATATTTTTATCTGATAAAGTGTATTTTTTTATCTGACCGGAAACATTATTGGGGTGGTTGGAAATAATGAGGTTAGGTGTGGAGTGGATGAGGGCGTAATCCGAGATATTTTATTTGACCGGGAATATTTTTATCTGATAAAGTGTATTTTTTTATCTGACCGGAAACAATATTGTGGTGGTTGGACATAATGAGGTTAGGTGTGGAGTGGATGAGTGCGTAATCCGAGATATTTAATCTGATCGAGAATATTTTTATCTGATAAAGTGTATTTTTTTTATCTGACCGGAGACATTATAGGGGTAGTTGGAAATAATGAGGTTAGATGTGGAGTTGATGAGTGCGTATTCCGAGATATTTTATCTGACCTAAAATATTTTTATCTGATAAAGTGTATTGTTTTATCTTACACGAGACTTAGTATGTCATTTTATCTGACACTCCGTAATATTTAAAGTCATAAAAAAATATATGCACACATTAATAATACAAATTGTATCAATAATAATAATAATAATAATAATAATAATGATAATAATAATAATAATAATAATAATAATAATAATAATAATAATAATAATAATAATAATAATAATAATAATAATAATAATAATAATAATAATAATAATAATAATAATAACAATAATAAATAAGCAGGAAGATGAATAAGTTACTAACCTTTGAATAGAGAGGATGAGAGGAGGGTTGAAAGGGGTCGGTTGAAGGCATGGGAGAATGGAGGTTGAAGGTCAATTTATAACAACAAACCGATCTGTAGCCCAATCACGGAGCCCGAAATCTCATCCTCTGGATTCGGAGTTGCCAAGTCCAAAACTAAGGTGTGTTTGGATCTGATTCTCAAAACTGATTCTGCTTCTTCAGGGAGCCGAAGCAGAAGCTGGAGTGTTTGGGTGAAATTCCAGAAGCACTTCTGGAGCTCTAATTTACTCTCAGAATCAGTTTTTTAGAAGTTGGGGGTACCAGCTTCTGAAAACTGATTCTGATTCTGCTTCTGCTTTTAAAAAAGAAGCAGAAGCAGAATGAGTTCCAAACACGCCCTACGAAAGCTGACCCAAAGCTGACTTATCTGAATTCGGAGTTCATAAATCCGAAAAAAATAAAGCACTTCTTCAACACTTTTAATTTTCCGAGTACCCAACTCCGTTTTGCCCTTTTTTGTCAAAAAATTCGAATCTCGCCTATTTGGAAACATCTGCAACAAATGTGTTCTGTTTCGTCATTTCCTCAAATCGGATGATGCAATGAGACATTACACAAAGAAGGTTGTGTGATGATTCCCTTAAATAATTTCGAATGTGACACAATTACTTAGAAATTTGACATCTTAGTTCACCTATTTGTTTTATACTACCTCCGTCCCCCTAAGTTTGGAACAAAAGAAGGTGACACGATTATTAATAAAAGTGTGTTTATGTGGTTGATATCGAATTGATAAAGTAAGAATGATTTAGAACCACATAAATTTTACTAAATAAGGTATGAGACAATCTTAGTGGGACGGACCAAAAATGTAAAAGAGGACAATCATAGCTGGACTAAGGGAGTACTACGTATAACTCAAAGGTATATATTTGAATAAATTAAAGATGGATTGTTCGTATGTATGTGACCCGTAATGTGAATGATCACTGGTTAGGTATTGCACAAGATTCGTGGGTAATACTCCGTAATAGATTAGATATAGGGAGTACATATATTTATTTCATTGATTGAAATAAATATGATCCAGGGCGTCGGATAATTACAAAATTGGCGATTAAGAAAGACGAAATGGCCAATAAACAACAGGACACAAGTTACTAATGATGCACGGTAAAGAAGAGACATGAAATCCAATCTATTGGTCCTATCTGATGGTATATAGAATTCACATGCTCTGTCTGTCTGTGGCCCTCATGTGGGTTTTCTAACTTTGTCGGGTTTGGTAAAAGTTAGGCTACCCTTCCATCCCAACCTCGCTCTTCATTTATCTGTTCAACTATCAGACCTACCTTTTTTTTAAACACCTATTCACGGTTGTGATATACTCCGTAGGATGTTTTTACTTCCACCATTTTTCGTTTCCAAACTAGATCAGATCAGACTTAAATAGATCAGACTTAAATAGATCAGACAAAATCAGACCAGATCGAACTTAAACAGACCAAACCTAATTTGACATCCGTAATTGTAAATACATAGAGACCAAATATTTATCAGACCAGACATTTACCAGATCAAACTAGACCAATTCAGACAAGACCGGATCAGACCAACAAATGCCAGTCCAAATAAAAACACCCATAGTTATAAGAAATGAATTTATGTGATTGATATTGAATTGATAAAGTGAAAATAATGTATGAATGATTTAGAACCACATCAATATTATTAAATTGAGTATCTTATCGGACGAATAAAAATAAAGATGAGACGATCTTAACGGGAATATACATGAAAATAAGTAAATTTGTAAAATGGTGTCAATATGAAAACAATTATATGAAAAAGAAAAACTTATAGATTATTTATACAAACAACTGTATTGTCTGTGAGTAAACATTTTTTTTGGGAAGAGTCTGATTAAACATTAGTTTACACGTTTGTATGTATACTTTTGAAAAAAATTCATTATGTTACTAGTTAAAATGTGATGGACAAAAATATTATTTAATAATTATCAGTGATTATAATTGTGGTAACATCTTATATCGTGATAACTACATGTAAGTTACTCTGATATAAACTTTGATCACAATTATAGCCATCAATAGTTGCTAAGTAATATTTTTGTCCATGAATTTTTATTAGTACGGAGTAATATTTAAGGAAAAATCCCTATACTTTTTACATATGTATATTCTCCTTGCAACCTTAATGTGACATGTTTTAGATGTTGATTAGATGTTTGATAACACTGAATTTGATGAATCATATTAATTTGATGAAATTGATGAAATTATGATTGGAACGTTAAATGACTAAATCTCCTTTATTTTTGGTGTGATGTCAATTGAAATATTAAAAACTGACACCCTATTTTTTTTAAAACAAGGTTATCATATAAGAAAAGCCACATCTTTCTCAATTTCAATTCCTATCTAACATTCTTTTCCCAAGTTTGGTTTTGGTTGAAACAAAAACCTATATAATAAAAATTGTTTTCTAGGCAAAAAGTTAAACACATGATACTAATAATGTTCTAAGTAATTCACATAAAATTAACATTTTTGTTAAAATATAAAAAACTACTTCCTTATTATCTTTTTAGGCATTATTTTATTTATAAAAATATTTTAATTTGTTGACACCATTGATACTATGGTCTAACTCCGTCCCTCCTGTCAAAGTCATCCTAAATGCTAACGGCTGTTGGTGGAGGTAGAGAGTGCCATAGCTCCTATTCACCCCAAATTTTCAAAAACTATTTAAATATTCCAGAACTTTATACTCTCAAACTTTCAGGGTTGGCTAACGATCCTAACCTCGTTGGTTCCGCCCCAGGTTATGAAGGGCTGAGGGGAGGGTAAATATATTTTACTACGTGTTACAAACAAATGAAGGTGATATGAATTCGGTAAATTCGAGATAATTTATATGGAAAACTCTTCTACATGTATCATTATCTTTAAAAAATGGATCCAACAAAATGTCTGACAAGTCTGCAGCCCTAGGGATGGATTGCATCTTTAAAAATTTGGGGTGGCTTTCTAGGTTTAAAACCGCTACAGAATCAGATCATGATATCAATCAGCAGAAAGCAGCATCCCATTTAGGTCCAGACAAAAAATCCTTTGATGTGATTTTAGAATTACCATTTAGTATTCATCTTCATCTATTCAAACCTTTGCCATCACATAATTTTTGTTTTGCCCCCACCGCCTCCATAATCTCTGCTGGCAATTCAACATTTAAGATTCAACCATACATCTCTCTTAGTTGGTTCAGTCATTCACTTATAACTCCAACTACCAATGCTATCTTTGTTGGTTGTGCTATCCTCAACTGTCCATCTCTCTCTCACTCATTTAATTGCTTCAGTTATATTTACTCATCCAACTCCTTCCTTCAAGCATTAGAAGTACAAAACTAGTTTAATCTTGTTTTTTGTATCCATCATTCTCTTCTTTACCAAAGCCCATCTAGGTAAAATGGGAATTTGGTCACTTCCCTTGTTTTGGGATGAGTTCTCAAGATTCTTGGCAACATGGTTCAGAAAAGATAAGAACTTTCTGGGTAACTTCTTGAACTTACCAAGAATCTTGACCCCAATGGAGAAGTCTACTCTGAAGAAGTTCAGATCATCAGAAAATGTGGGGTGGAGAGGGGAGACCACTTTTCTTGATCTGCCAGACTTGGCTATGGACTGCATTCTTGAGAGGCTTTCACCTGCAGAGCTGTGCAGCATGGCTAAGGTCTGCAATTCAATGAGGGAGAAGTGTGTGAGTGACCATTTATGGGAAAAGCACATTAATGAGAGATGGGGGAGGTTGATTGGGAATGCTGCCTATAGAGAGTGGGAGTGCTACATTGCATCAAGAAAGAGGTCTCTCCTACAAAATTACCAGGACCAGAAGGACATTTTTGGGTATTTATCAAGTTTTACAAATTTCCTGTTTCATAGAGAGGAAGCAGAAGAAGAAAATAGATTCAAGAGCTGTTTCCCTAAGAACTCACTAATGGCTTTATACTTCTCACTTGAAAGTGGCGTGTTCTGGTTTCCTGCTCAGGTTTATAACCGCGAGGTAGTGATCTGGAGGGAGTAAAACTCTTAATCTGTTTTTCTGCTAAAAGTCTTTTTCTCTAACCGTTTAACTCAGCATTGCTTTTTGGTTTTTAGTACCAAATTGAACTGTTTTAATTTTATGGACGGTTGACCATTCATTAATTATTACCAACTTGGGTTTTTTCTAATGTGCAGAATGGGCAGCTTGGGTTTGCATTATCCTGCTATGATGCGGAAATCAGCTATGATTCTAATGGAGATACTTTCAGGGCAAGGTACAATGAAATCTCATCTCGCTCTTTCTGCTGTTCTGGTCTTTGTTTATTTACAATTTACTTATTTATTTACACAATTATTTATTTTTAGTCTCTTTATTTATTATCAGATATTTGTGTATTTGTTTCTTTTTCTTAGAAAAATGTATTTATTTCTTTATGTTCTTGTTATTTATTTATTTAATCTTTTTTTATGTTTATTAAAAAAACTTTTTTATGTTCTTGTTACTTGTGTTTGTTTGATATAAATTATTATTAATAGTATTGTTATCTTGTTTCTGGACAATTTTGCAGGTATCTGACTAAAGGGTGGAGGTCCACAGAGGAAAACATAGAGAGGAAGAGGATTAGGGCACCACCTGTCGATACCCCTACTTATGATCTCCATACCTCTGATTGCTTAAATGATCTAAAACCAGATGATCACATTGAAATACAATGGAGAAAAAGCAGAGAGTTCCCTTATGGTATGTGTGTTAACTTTTCAAGATTTTTTTTAGATTACCTAGATAAAAAAACATGCATACATAAGGAGCATGGAAAGGTTCAGACTTCAGAGGGATGCCATTAATTTGACAAAAATACTCTTTAAGTGAAAGTGTGGGACTGCCCTCACTCAATCTCTGTCATTGACCTTCTCTGTATAACATATGCTAGAGCTGAAATTTTCATGAATTGCAGGTTGGTGGTATGGAGTTGTTGGACATCTGGAATCATGCAGTGGCAACAAAATGATTTGCCAATGTCATATAAGTGGTAAGGAGACTAAATAAAATTACCTTAAGGATATGTTTGGTTCCAAGATAATGATTGGGAAAGCAAAGAAAATTAAAAGCAGGATGTATAGCTTTATGTTGTAAAATGTGAAAGGAAATGAAATATGAATATTGTTTGTAGAAATAAATAAAACCTAGAAGAATATCTGAAACAAATTTATTGGGTTTTAGCCTTTCTTTTATCCCCCACAGCCTCATTCATTTCACTTTCGTTTGTGTTTATACTTACTATTTTCTTTGTCTAGTATTCTCCCAGAAATGATAGGATGGGAAAGAAAACGATTGTAAAAGTTATTTTTTCTTGTTGTAATCTATCTCAGAAAATGCAAATGAAAATGAACAGTGATTAGTGTTTTTAAAAGTTTCACACATTTATAATTTTATATTGCTTAGTATCTTACTATATACAAACTGAATAAATAAAAAAATTCATAAAAAATGAGTTCTAAACTTCTAACCAATATTTTATTTCCACAAACATCTTCCTCCTTTCACTTTTCTACCATATTTTCCTCTCTGTTTTCTTTTCCCATTATTTTCACATTCCAAACGAACCCAAAATCTCGCCAATATCATTGTTTTGTCTTTTATAATGAGCTTAAGTGAGTTCCATCATATTTGTTGGCAGACATGGCTATATTAGAGTTCAGGCAGTACTCCCCTGGTTCAAGATGGAGACAGATAACAATAAACAAGAAAGGCCATCAAGAAGTAGGGAATGAAGTAGATGGTTTCTATGGTGGAATCAGAAAGCTTTACAATGAAGATGAGATCTCAGCATGGAAGTGCTTTTGGCCAAACTGCACTTTGGATTAACAAAGAATTGGGAATTATTCATTTCATTATTATTAGTTCAGTGCACAACAAGAACTACATATTCCAAAGCCAAGCAAACCCTCGAGCGCTTAGCTCTGTTATAGACCTACCTACTGCCCTCTCCTGTACAATCCTGAGACTACTTGTGATGGCAGCAATAGAACAATGGAAGAAACTGAAACTTCAGGAAAAAAGACCAAAGATGCAAATGGATAATCAAGACTTTTGGAGAGAACGGGAGGATAGTCCGTGGAGAAGCCTGACAAAGCCCACAAAACTGAGCTTTCCATCTGAATGTCTTATCCAATCCTGCAGAACTACATGAACTGGAACCGATGGGCCGACTCCAAGCTCCTAAAAGTACATATACACACAAACATCATCAGCAGGCATAGTAGA